AATGCGATACCTGGAGGAAAGACTATTATGTACTCTGTTTGGCATTGTGGACAATGTACTCTGCCAAAGCTGTTGTCTTTCTGTTTTTCATCTACCCATCGTTGTAAACAAGATTGATGCACCTGGACATTGATAATATATGTAGTACCATATGTATGTATATATATTATTTTGTTATAATGTACCCATTTTGATGTTCCTTTACAATGGCAAGGCTGTACCCAGTTTGCGTTTGCATCATCCTCTTCGGTAGCAAAACAGACCCAACAATGTCTTTGTTGGGACTCATTCGACGGTGTCTCCGACACGGGGTTAGCATATTCTGTACACTGTGAACCTCTATTTTCTAACGTAGTCATTATAAGTTATCTCTAGAAACATTACATAGTCTAATCAAACAATATTTCATAGGTTATATCCATCGCACATCGAATTTGGAAGCATTGAGTGACTCCTAAATCGCCATTGTGTAATAGATTGTTAAATATATAATTTATGAAGTGTGAAATAGAGGGACATTACGTGATTTTTTTTAGGATTTTGTATATATTAAACTTGTAAATTTAGTTATCAAAGCAGGTTTTTTGCTACTGTCATTTTGCTGTCAATTCATCGTGGGGTTGCCACATGCATTTTTGACGCAGTGACACAAAATTGCAATCTGGCAACACTTGTAGTTTGACAGTTGTTGTTTGAAACTAGAAAGTTCGAGTTGAACCGAGTCGACATTATTATATTTTTTTATATTTAATAAATATAAAACACGTGATTGACGTATTAATAAGTATAATTATATAGATAAATATAAATATACATTGTTATTAAAATCCTAATTTTATTTACTAATCTATTAATGACAATTTGAAGCAGGCAATACTTTCGTAGCGATCGTAGTGTTTACATTTTCTTGTCAGCTTGTCAGTTTGTGTCGTTTATGTTGTGTTTTTTTTATAAGTGAAAATTGTTGTTGATATATTTATTTACGGCATGACGTGCTCAACGGACTCATTATTTATTGAAATATTTCAAAAGGGCGATGATATTAATACATTTTTTGATGCACTGTTTGGTTTTCTTAATCGTTGCACAAATTTCTACGAAGAAGACATTAATGTTTGTGAACAAGTTTGTATGCAATATCTAAGACTTTGGCATCCTGAAAAAAATTGTATTACTAATAATCATGAAGCCCACTTGAATAATATCGAAACTATCGACTCTGACAGTAAAAATCATATAGAGGAGGTTATGTCCACCGATGAGCAAATTTTTTTAAACAAAAATGAAATCTACAACACAAATCTGCACCAGTCAGACATAGTATACGATAATGAAATAGAAATATCATCCTGCGATGACATAGAACCAATCATGAGTGCAGACACAAAATTTAAACACAACACATCAAGCGAATCCTATAACGGTGCTGTTACAGAAAAATATACCTGGTCACAATCGATAAATGAAATAGACATATACATAACTTTGCCAGAGACAATAACATCAAGTAGCCAGTTAAAAGTTTTGATTACACCTGCACACCTAAAAGTAGAATTTAAAGAAGAATCAACACCTTATATTGATGAAGACTTCCCTTTCAATTGCAAACCATCAGAATCCGTGTGGTGGCTTTCGAATGGTAGGCTATTGATACATTTACAAAAAAAGGAAGATCGATGGTGGCAAAAGTTGTTGGAGTCGGACACACCTTTGGATATAAGTAAAATGAATTGTTCAAGACCCTTAGATGAGCTCTCTGAAGACGCACAGACTTTAGTACAAGAAATGTTTTGGAACGAAGCACAAAAAAGTATGGGCAAGCCTACTACAGAGGATATAAGAAATAGGGAGCTATTAAGAAAATCCTGGAATGCTGATGGTTCTCCTTTTCAAGGGATGGAGTTTGATCCTTCTTTAGTAAACTTTCACTAATTATAGAAATATATGATGTTTTAGAATTGATAACAAGAACATGGTCTTTTTTATTGTTATGTTATTTTATACATATATTGATACTTTCTCAAATTTTATTGTATATATATATTTATATAAAGCAGAAATAAGATGGATATGAAAACAAGATTTTGTCTTATTTCTACATTATCGGTTGTTACAAACATTTTATATATTTTGTACTCGATTATTTTTTCAAAGGTATGGATTTTGTTAGCATTATGGTCTTGCAGGACGTGCAGTTGATGTTAATATAATGTGCTTTAAAGTGTTTAGTACAATAACAAATACTAAAATAGATGAGAATTAATTCAACCTCAAGTTTTACAAAATTTTGTATTTGTGTTCAAGTTTAACACTTGTATCGTTTCTTGATTTTAAAATCTGTTTAGTAGAACTGTATAATTTGAGAATATGATGTTTTAAATCTTGTTTCATATTATAAAAATGGTTAAAAAAGCTGTTTAGTGACGAAATGAAAATATTAAACAAAGATATTGGAGAATATTGCACAAAAATTTGTTATAGGTCTTTAATTTTAATATACATGTATATTGCAATGTGCCTTTGAATGCCCAATAATTGGAATCCATTCACTGTAGAATGCTGGAAATTAGGTATGTGATGCTTTAAACCTAATTTTTAATTTTAACTAGTGGTGTATGGCATCGTGCCTTAAGGCAAATTGCGGGAACTTTCTGTACCGTAACGAAATGCTTGGGAATATTAAATGTCTTTAAATAGATTATTATAAATATTGTACATTGTCTAATATTTATAAGAATTATGTAAACTGAATTACAAAGTTGAAATTATTTGTTTTAAGTATATTAGAACTTTAGTCAGAATTAAAATTAAAATCTGAATTATTTTCCATATACAAAAAAAAAAAAAATCTGAAAAAAAATTTGAAATAATTTTTATTTTCAAAAGCAATTATTTTGTTAAAACAAGCTGAAAGTTCTTTGAATCATTCAAATCGGACGCTTAGTTCTCTCCAAACTGTAATCGTTTCCACATTTAGCTCTGTATCTTCGAAATTGCTAGACCTGCCTTTGCCAAAATCTAATCACCGCTTCTCCCCGTCATTACGAATTGAATGTTTTTCTCGATCATTTAAATCGGATGCTCCGTTCTCTCAAAAACTCGAATTAGATTTTCTGCACTCTTTGCTCCGTATCTCCGAAGCGGTTGGATCTGCCTTTGTCAAAAACTAATCAGCACATCTTACTATCAATAGTAATCGAATATTTTTTGTACCATTCAAATCGGTTAATCCGTGCGTCCGAAAACGTGGAGGAAAATTGTATCCATACATACATACACACACACTTTTTTGAGGTATGCCAAAATGTTCAGCAACCTTCCAAACGTGAAGAAATGTAAAAAAAAAATCAATTTCGATTTTTGGACGATTACAATAACTAACCCTACGGGAAGTTAATAAAGATTTTGGAGAATATTCCACAAAAATTGGTTATAGGGATTTAATTTTAATATATGTTCCTTTGAATGTCCAATAATTGGAATCCATTCATTGTAGGATGCTGAAAATTAGGTATGGGATACTTTAAATCTTTTATTTAATTTTTGAAAATACTTATGGGTACTATTTTGTAACGGAAGAAATTTTATATATTATTTTATTAAGGTGTATGCATTTCTATACGAGGCATAAAAATCCTCGACGCATTTGTTACGTACTATAGAAACTATACTTGTTTGTACGAAATCTTAAATGTATATCATATTATCATATACTATATATATTTAATTATATATATATATATATATATATATTTATATATACTTTCCACCCCTCTACTAATGTTAGCGCATGCGTCCTAACCTATATAAATGTATTAATAGTAAAGGTGTCTCATTCAATCACAAACAAGCAGCCGTTCTATCTGTTTATAAATATTAATTTTATATTAAACGAGTATTAAAAAGTTGGTCATAAATGGTTCAACGTGTTCAAGTGCGTAATTTAAAAGTGTAAATTCAAAAAAAAAATTAGAATAAAATAATGTGTTTTGCAAGTGCGTGTTCGGGGGATATATAGATAGGTAGACGGCGGCTCGATAATATTGTAATCGGTATAAAACGGTAAGTAGTTTTCCGGTTTAATTACAATATATTTTTATAGATTTTATAAATTTAAATAATTACTTATATTTCTAACTTTATTTTAAAATTTTTAATTTACTAAATAAATCCTCGTGCGCTTTATAAATTTAAAAACTAAGCATAAATGCCCTCTTTTTGCAAAACATACCTTGGAGTGGTTTAAACATTTTTTAGGGCGTATGAAAACTTTGTATTCTAGACATGTTATTCCTTAGAGTCTATATTAAAACAACAAATAATAAAATCAATTTGTTTTTTTACAAATCTTAAATGGATTTTATCAAATTGCGTACGGTTTATGTATAAAATACTAGTCTATCCTTAAATTACATTTTTAAAGGACTCCTTAGGACGCACTGTCTGTACTACAACATTGTAAATCGGATATGTTATTTCTTACAGTGTCTATTATAACAACAAATAATAATATAGATGACTTTATTAAGAAAATTTTGAATTTCAACCCTTTTCACTCGCGAATTCCAAAAATAATACGTATTTTGTCGCCGGAGCAGCGATATCCGAGTAGAAAGGGTTGATCGGGTTAATATTATAATTGGTATAAAATTCAGATATATTAGATTTAAATAATTATTTATATTTCTAACTTTATTAAGAAAAATAATTTGATCTACCTTTGCAGATTTAAATACCAAGCATAATTGCTCCCTTTATGCAAAAATACATTGGAGTTTTTTAAACATTTTTCACTCATGGAGTTGTATGTACTCCTACTTTGTGTTCGAGTCATGTTATTCTTTACAGTATCTATTACAATAACAAATAATAAAATTATAGTTTGTTTTCTTATAAAATTTTTAGTTATAATGGATTTTACCAAATTGCCTCTGGTTTATGTTGAACAAAATACTAGTCTATCATTAAATTACATTTTAAAGGACTCTGCAGGATGCACCGTCTGTACTACAACATTGTGAAATAAGTATGTTATTCTTCAGATTGTCTGTTATAACAACAAATAATAACATGAATTACTTTATTGAGAAAATTTCAAGTTTCAAACGATTTTGCTTGGTATGGTTTGTAAACAATTGATAGGTATTAATACCTATAGTTTGAAATTTACTGTTATTAAGTTACTATTATAATTAGACAAGATCTCAAATAAAATTTTAAGTTATAAAAGACTTAGCAAAATATTCAATAGGTATGTATGGAACTTATACCATGGATTGATATTTACATTATATCTCATAATCAGTGTTTTTTTTATTATACCCTTTATTAGACTTTCTCGGTGGTAACTGATTTTATGTAATAGTTTTTTGGTTATACATAATTCTAGCAAAATTGAGCTCTGCAGCTCTGCGAAACTGCGGAGCTCTGCAGAACGTACCGTTTGCATTAGGAAAAAAAAAATACTGTTTCATGTTTATATGTATATATAATATATATAATATATATATATATATAAATGTATAAATGTATGTTATGTATGTTTATATTAAGTCTTAAAATCTGTTCCATATGACAAATTGAATCTCCGTCACTTTAAGCGGATGTCGACAATTTAATATGACACTTGAATGAAACAAATTTTATTCGTGGCATCTCACATAATAAGTGTCATCCTGATAAATACGACTACACTATATATATAAATCATACTTGATTTCACTTTCATTCTAAAAGTTTCATAGAACTTAACTTCAGTAGGTGGAAGTAAGATAATATTTTTTTATATTATAAATTTTATAAGATCGAATATTAAATTCTCAATGTACTCTTCGATCTCTTTTCAATGATATATCACATGAAAAATAATATTAGAATTTAACCTATCGGCAAGTTGCTATTGTATAATGTGAGATTTGATCAAATTTCACGCAGATACAACCTTTGTTATTAATTTTTCAAAAATGTTTTGTCTGCACTAATAATAATAATAATAACAAGTACTTCGTATCACGTTTCAAAAGTTATATCAAATTACTAATTGTACTTTTATAATTAAATAATATTGTCATTGTTAATTGTTTGCTGGTTGTATAAATATATACATATATGTATATATATATATATATATATATATATATGTGTGTGTGTGTTATATATGAGTAGTGAAATAAATCAAATAATAGCCAATAATTTATGAATTAATCTTCAATTTTTCAAATGTTTCGATATAAAATGTTAGGTCATCATCAGTGGTTTCTTACATCAATTAGGGAATAAGTTAGCACTAACATTCATACAATAACTTTTTACTATCAAAAAGATTTTTTTAGTTTAATGTAAAATAATAGCAAGTAAAAGAGTTATGTAACAAAAATAATTTAGATAAAATACAAGACATTTGAGACTCGGTGCCATTTGTAAATACAAGTGCTCTTGCAAAAACATTTTGTATTTTATCTTAATTATTTTTGTTACGCAACTCTTTTATGTTCCACAATTTTACATAAAACAAAAAAATTCTCTTTGTTAATGATAAGTTGGTGTATACTATAAATGTTAGTGCCAACTTTGTGCACATTTATTGATGTATACACCAAGTCTAATGAGTATAAACCTGATGATGACTTAAAATTTTAAGTCGTAAATAATTTAAAATGTTTAAATGCCTTAAATTTTTTTGAAAAGTTTGATTTTTTTCATAAAGTTTCAAAGCTCATAACCCATAAATTGTAAACAAAATTTGTAATTATTACTAAAATCTCTATGAAACATCTGATAATTTGATGTGCATATGTCTAATGATATTTTTTGGCCACCAAATGGCATTTTTTCAAACTTTTATTTTTATTTTCGAAACTGCTGGAACTATCTTCCCAAAAATTCAACTAATTCTTCATTATATCAATATAAGTGATATGTTTTTTGAATTATTCAAATCGGACGCTCCGTTCTCTCAAAATTGCAATTCTTGTCACTTTTTACACCGTATCTTTGAAATGGCTAAACCCGCCTCTGTCAAAAACTAATCACTGCATCTGCATCAATACAAATCGAATGTTTTTTGAATCATTCTAATCGGATGATCCGTGCTCTCAAAATCGTGAACTAAAAATTGTATTCAAACATACACACAAAGACATACACCCACAGCAAAAATGTTCAGAAACTCGAGGTATGTCAAGGTATACCAAAATGTTCAGAAACCTTTGAAACGTTAAATTTACAAACAATTTCATTTTTAATTTTCTTGCGATTACTATAACTATTATCTTATGGGAAGTTAATATAATATTTTTTATCATGGATAAAACGTATGTGCAACCTCAAAAATTTTGAGTACAATGGCGATAAAGTTTGGGTATCATTTATACATGAAATTCAAATTTTTGTGGTAAATTAACTTTTATATAAACACAAAAACTAGTTTCAATATTGTCGATTTATCTAGTGCTGTGCATACAGTAGAAACAGGATAAAAAACGGTTGGTTTATGGCCTATATATGATGCATATATATTTCTATTACATTTACATAATACATCTATTTCCTCGCCATCAGTCACAAGTGTCAGAAATCCCTCAACTGAAAATAACTTATTGCAGACACGGAATACTTTGGCAGATTTTCAATCAAGTCACACTACTCATTTAGTCAAATCTTCTTGAGTCAGTCAAATGATCTCGGAGCACCTGACCAGATCACTTAATCCGATTCAAACCTAATTTTAGAGTCTAAATTGGTTTATTGAACCTGTCTGTGATAAAGGAGTGGTGCATGGTGCATTTCAAGATACTACGTAAGATAATTTGATAACAACTTGGCAATAGGCAAATATCTAACATCTGGTAAAACAACTGAAGATATGTTTTGGTACAGTAATTATAAACTTTTAAATTTCATAAATAACCAATAATTTATCTTGTTATTTTTTATCAATATTATGTAAAATGATCTATTACTTGTTATTTAACTTATATTTTTCTTACAGTCCTTATTTCTACCATATTTTAGTATATATGTTTACGGTTTTTTTATAGAATTTTTTTATTATTTTCAATTTCATTATTTCATTTTTTTCAGTTTTTTCCAGCGAAACATAGTTTATTATGCAATTTGAATGATTGTTTTGAAACCAATTGGATATGTGTGCAATTTGTTATTATAATATTTAAGTATTTACTTATAATAGACAAATAAAAATTTAAAAAAAATATATATCTGACACCTTTTTGCATGTGACGTATTACTCAATACAGAATTAGAAGTACATTATGTAGATGGTCCAAATTTATTTTGAAGTATAAAAGTCTGAAGTATCTAAATATTCTAAATGTATGATTTAGACGTGCAATTAGCAGAAACTTAGAGACAACTTAGTCTAATTATTCATTTAAAAGAGCACAATTCAATGTAATACGAAGAAGTCGAAATTTGGAAAGTTTCGAGAATTCTTTGCAACTTGCCAATAGATCAAAACCTAATACCATTTGGCATGCTTTCAAAAAAGTTTGGAGAGTACAATATGAATCGAACCTTTTTTGTAAATAAAAAAATATATAGATTTTTTTTTCCTAATTTTACACTATGGAAATTTCATATTGCAGGATGTATATATATAAATATATCAGTGTGTATATTTAAATTACAATCTGTCCTTCTACATTAATATCAACTGCGTTCATTTACCATTAATTAAAACCCATTAAAATAGATTCGATCCCACTCCAGATCAAGAGTTGCATTAAATTGCATATTCGCAATTCTTTTCTCTCGGCTCTCGATTAAAATTCTTTGAATCCATAATCGTACATCGATTAAAATTTAATTATTTTTGGCGTGAGAATAAATTTAATTCGATTTAATTCTAGTTTTTGCTTTTGTTTTGCAGAAGAGTTTTACTGAACGTGCAACATGGAGGAGAAGAACGGAGAAGGAATCAATTTGCAAATTATGGAAGTGGGAGGAGGAAACAAAACGTGAGTGGAAAATGGATAAAAATTTATGTTTAAATAAATAATAAGTGATAAATATGTATTATGCTAATGTATTATAATATTGGACAGTAGTGTTGCCAATGGGCAGGACTGAGTTAAACTCCAACTCGATTCAGGGAAGGAGTAGTGTGAGAGTTTTTCCCAATTCCATTTCACACAGTGCCCAAGATGGGCTTATTTTCAATTGGAAACATGTTTTCGATCTATATATGGTGATTAATTTTTAATTGTGCAAATTCATTTTGTGTAAAATTAATTAATTTACAATTATGTCCAATATTCCTAGAGCAAACCACTCTTCAAAAACCATATAATAACGACTGGTGTTTAATAACGTTTGCAAATCTGATACCAATCGGTTGATATGAATGTGGTGTAAGACAAAAGTGTTCACATTTAAATTTTGTACGACTTTTACTAACGACAAAAGACAAAAGTGTTCAGATTTAAATTTTGTACGACTTTTACTAACGACAAAAGACCCTAGATTAACTCGACATACTTTGAAATATAGTTGTTAAGTAGCAATTATTCTGAACAGCAACCGCCTTTGTCCGTCGGTTTACTTGTTCAAGTGCATTCATTTATTATTCCTTTAGCAACTTATAAACCGTTAGATTCGTCTGAATGATGTGTTTGAGCGAAATATACAAAATTAAATCATCTACAATTTTGTTTAACACCGTAATGCCCTATGACAACTTGGTATATTTATAACGAGCCTAAAAAATTAACCCTCGTATATTTGTATGTAAATATCTCTACCCGAGATCCACCTGTTGGACGACTACTCATTAAAATTCTTTAGAGCGACTTCTGTTCTCATTTCTCATGGCTCATCCTGTACCCAAGCTCTATATTCCTTTTTCATCTATAATCATCTCAAAGATGTCTTTAAATTACATATAATTTAAATTTATTTTCAGAAAGGACACGCCTGTTGGGACTCCGACGTCGCAGAATGAGGACTACGACCCTCACCAGCACAGAACTAACCCGAATGCAACGACGTAAGATAGATAAATAAATAATTTATATATATATATATATATATATATATATATATATATATATATATATATATATTTATACCTATATAAAATCTTATTCGATTCTTTTAGAAATCGTGAAACCTTAATCCATTTACTAAAAGGTTCACTGGGAACTGGAATCCTTGCAATGCCGGAAGCCTTTCACAACTCCGGTTTAGTCTTAGGAACCATCAGCACGATATTGATTGGGGCCCTGTGCACATACTGTTTGCATGTCCTGGTATAATTCATTTTTATTTAAAATTATGATTTTGATGTGACTTATTGTAAAATTAATTGTTTTCAGGTGCAAGCCCAATATATTTTGTGCAAAAAATTAAAAGTTCCAGTTCTGTCCTATCCGGCATCTATGAAATACGCCCTGGAAATCGGCCCGCAGTGTCTCAGGCGTTTTGCTAATGCATCATAGTAAGATTTATAAATCATTTTATTTAGACAAAAGTTGTGTCGAAAGGCTTTAGTTTGTTTTAAAGGGCCAACCATATTTTCGTAGAATCGAGATCATCGCAGAAGTTTTGGTTTTCCATTCATTCGACATCCTTTAGTAAAATCTAATCCTGTTTGTTGATGTGAACAATGTCTATTATTTTATTATATTTTTTTTCTAGTGCTATCGTAGATATCTTTCTCATAGTGTACCAAGTTGGAATCTGTTGCGTGTACGTAGTCTTCGTCGCAGAAAACATCAAACAGGTGATAACCACCATCAACGACTACCTCAAAAACAACCTAACAAATTATCGTTTTTGTTGCAGCTGATAGACTTTTACGTGGTAGAATTAGACGTCAAACTCCACATGGTGTTCCTTTTAATACCTCTGATCGCCATCAACAGCATAAGGAATTTAAAGCTCTTGGCTCCATTTTCTTCTTTGGCCAATTTGGTGACACTGGTCGGTATCTGTCTGATTATGGTGTATATTTTGGACGACTTACCGTCTCCTTCAACAAGGGAGATGGTGGCACCGCTGGTGAGATATCCATTATTTTTTGGAACCACGTTGTTTGCCTTGGAAGCTGTCGGAGTGGTAAGTGTATAGCGATTGATAAGCAGGGAAAACCATTTTATTTACAATATGATTTTGGTTTCAGATAATTGCTTTGGAAAATAACATGAAGACTCCAGCGTCCTTCGGAGGCTACTGCGGCGTCTTGAACGTCGCCATGTCTATCATTGTCTTTTTGTATGTTATGGTTGGTTTTTTGGGATACATCAAATACGGCCCTGACTCGAAAGGTTCTATAACTCTGAATCTGCCAAATGAAGAAATGTGAGTTCTAAACGTGTACTGCTAGACATCATGATAATTGATGTTTGAGATGATTTTTTTAATGTTTAATCCACAGCATGGCCCAATCTATTAAAATAATGTTTACACTGGCCATCTACGTTTCCTACGGTCTCCAGTGCTACGTGCCAGTGGAAATATTGCTGACCAGATACTTCGAGAAGAAAATTGCCCAGAGCGACCACAAAATTTTGTATGAGTACGCAATCAGGATAGGAGTTGTCATCGTAACCTGTGAGGATAAAACTAATTATGTTTCTATTTATTTATTAAATCACCAATTATGTATCATCTTCTTCCTGCAGTCCTGAGTGCTGTGGCCATCCCCCGCCTGGGTCTCTTCATCTCGTTGATCGGTGTCTTCTGTTTGTCGGCCCTCGGATTGGCCTTTCCGGCCGTGATAGAGTTATGTGCAAAGTGGCCCGATAACTTGGGTAAGTTTCGCTACGTCTTGGTCAAGGATATCGCCCTGGTTCTATTCGGCATCGTCGCCCTGATCGTCGGTACGTATGTCAGCGTCAGAGGTATCGTGTTGTCTTTTATGTGATTCGGGGAAAAGAAGGTAGGAGATTTGTTTAATTCTAAGGTTCGGATGGTTGTTTTATATATTTAGTTGTTTTTTAAGGTTCCTATGGTTGTGGAAGAACCTAGATTTTGATTAATTTCAGATTTTCAGATTTAATATATTTTTTAGTATTTAATTGTTATGATGTAAATATTTGTTTACAATGAAGCGTAGCTTTCAATGATAATTATATTATTAACAAAAGAACCGTTTGCTGTTCTGCTCTGTCGAAAACGTAACAGTTCCAAATAACATTGACTAATGTGACTCTTTTTTATATATTTTATATATTTTCTATTTAAATATTTTAAAATGGTAATTATAGTTCTAAGAAAAAAAAACATTGAGTATATCCTACAAAGGTTCAAAAATTTATTAATTTATAACTGTTACGATATGCTTATTGCAGAACAGGAATATAACAGACGTGAAACAATTTTATTTGCTAATTTTTATTCTAGACGTTCTCTTTGTTATTGTCTAAATTCTCAAAGTTGGTAGAATAAATAAGTTTATTTTTTATATGATTGTTATATAATTATATAATATAAAATTTTAGCAGCCAACACGTCAAAATTCAAAAAGAACAATAATTATAGAAAAGTAGTTATTAGGTACGTTTAGAGTACTAAATCTGTGTCATCACTGTATAGTTACAATAATTATTCTCTGAAGTTCATTTTTTTAGTTTTTTTATAAGATGACACTGATTTGGTGCACGAAACGTACATGGCAGCTATAAATTAATTATATTTAATTAAGTTAATAATTTTAATTGTCTCAAACTCAAGGTGCACTTACGTACTCAGTACTTGCAAACCTCATAAATATATTAAGAAGCTTTATAATAATGATAAATTAATTATTAATAATATTTATAACAAAAAAACGTAGACGCATATCAGATATGTTCAATTATTAGGATAGATGTTTTTTGTTGAAAATTTCAATCATATCATTGGTTGATTGGGAAAATATAGTTATTAATAAGCTTAAAGCTTAAATATTATAGGAGAGGCTTGAATGAGCCTTGTTGTGTTTTAGTTTAAGCCTGACACGCACATGGGGTGACATCTCATTAATTATATGGGAAGGCACTCTTATAAGATATATATCTTGAATTTAAAATAATTCTCATGCATTTTATTTTAGTGTTAGATAGCGCAACAATGCACACTAAATTTGGATAAGCTTATCTTGTTACCTTAGGCTGACAAGGAAAACTCTTCCAATGCTTGTCTCGAATTTTGATGATTTATTCTTAATTTAAGTTATTTGCTCTTAATAATTTTTCTTTCTCACAATACTTTTGTACTTGACAGATTGTATTATTAACTGATTAATTTTTTTAACTTATTTTACTGTAAAATAAGTATAAAGTACCTCGATCTCATATAATTAATGGATGTTCTCCCTGTAGTACAATGGAAACTGCCAAATTTCTGTCTGATGTAGATTTAAAAAATTTACACTAGTCAGATTCTTTATTTAAACTAATCATATTCACATGGGTCTGGAGGGTCCAGGACTGATAAAGACAAGGACTTGTTTTGGGTTCATATTAACCCATTGTACTATTTATAGTGTAGCAACTTTGAATCGTGGATCGACTCGTAACTTAAGAATGCGCATCAACTTTATTTATAGATTTGTGTACCTTTTTACCAAAACCATTTAATCTTATAATCATCTATTAAATTGTCTTATATTATGTTACTTTATAGTATCTTGGTATACTTTAAAATACTAGGAATTATACACAATAGTCGAGTTTGCCAAAAGATCCACGACCGCCTGCTATGAATAGATAAAAATCCACTTTAGGGTTTTTAATGCAAGTATAATTTTTATTAGATAAATGCTAATCTGACCACATGTTTTTTTTTTTTGTAAATGGATAATATATGTTCTAATTTTAGATAAGATATATGTATATAAGTATATATATATATATATATATATATATATATATATATATATATATATATATCACTCTGCACTCATTTATTTAAATTCACACTGATGACGGGCAAACAATAGTGTCGAAACGTTTGTATGTTTAACAGCAATTAATAAGTTCAGTGCAGAAAATTGTGTAGTATATATTATGTATATGTATGTATATACATATATATATATATATATATATATATATATATATATATATATATATATATAACTGTCTCATTTTTATTCTCGACAAATTTTTTATTTGTTTGTAAAGAACTTAAATAAATAAAATATAAAATTTTAAATTAGTTTAAATAAAATATATTTAATTAACAAATTAAAATAAATTCGTTGTGTTATTTTGCAATAATATAAGAGAGAGAAAAGAGAAATGTCTTGGATACTATTAGTTTATGTCGTCTAATCGATTATGATCTTAAGTTTATATTAAATATTTTTATTGAATTAATAAATGAGATAAGAGAACAAGCTTAATCCGCCAAAAAAGTACTCGTACTAAAAAATAAAAAAAAGGCGTTCAGATACATTCTTCCTCTTGCTGCTCCGGGCGAAGATAGTATACAATTATACAAGTACATATATTTATAAAATAACTTAATTCCGGAGTAGGCCTATCAATTGTTGATAACGCAAATTTATTTGCTTAATTTTTATCTTTGAATATTTTCGCGCCTTTCCATTGTTACGTTATAAAAAAAATAGGAAGTGACATTTTTAGCGTCGTGTCACGAAAACGTGATAACGTTTTTTTCATACTCCAAATTTTAGATGAATCTTACAAGAGCATTATATTACCAGTATTTTATCTGAAATAATAGTGAAATGAAGTAGAATAATGTGGCGGACGTAGCTCAGACTCACATGCCGACTCACATGCCGGAGATCGTTGGTTCGATCCCTGGCGCTTCCAAGTGTCAAAATATCAGAATGTATAAGAAATTCAATTGTAAGATGTATGTAAAAAAATGATTAGAATGTATGAGGTATTAGAATTATAATGTATAGAAATTGAATTAGAATTGAAAAAAGGGAAGAATGAAGATAAGTTGAACTATGTAGAAGAATAGGATTTATGTGAAGAAGATAAGTTAAAAAAAAGTATAAAAAGAATAGAATCAAAATAGTATAGAATATAAATAAATGTTGTAGGTGGCTAAATGCTCAGTGTAAGCGAAGCCAAAAACTAATATATTGACATTTTACATTTAAATTAAGTTTTGTGGAATTTCAAGTGGATGTCAAAGTCGATGTTCGCCAAAACTAATTCATACAGAATTTAAGGAATTTTTAAAAATCAACTGTTGTTGTGACCTCTACAGGATATCAAATTTAGAAAAGGAGCTCTACCAGTCTACAAACACGCAAATGTTTGAGAAAGCACAGGTACATCGAGAGTACTTAAAATATTACTAGTCGATTTTGTTTAATGACATTTTATATAAAACAAAATATTTTGGAAGAAAAGTTATTTATTTTTTTATATTTTTTGTGTTTTTTTAACCTCCCGTAGGGCAAGAATTGATCAAATTTTTATGAAGGCAGGTCCAGCGGTTTTGGAGATCTAGTGAAAAAAGTAAAAATAAATGCCATTTGGCGGTCAAAAATGATCATCAAATTATCAGATATTTTATAGAGATTTTAACAATTAGTATAAATTTTGTTTACATTCCTATGGGTTCCGTACCAATGTTTATCCGTTAGACGGCGGCGCGGCGCTTACGGGCTTCTATATTTTGTCTCTATGCAGTTAAAACAGTACGATTTCTTTGAAAAAAAGTTCAGAATTTCCAAAATATGTCAAAATAAAGAAAACATTTTTATCATCAGTAATCATCAATAAAAAACATGAATTTCTTTCAAAAATTTATTTTAAATCCATACCTTTCGGCTATAATCCTAGCCTTCATTTAGTGGAAAATTAGTTAACCTTAGTGTTAAATTGGAAGATTTTAATAATCCATGGTATCAAGATATGACAAGGGCGAGCAACCTTTTTAATCCACGGGCCAATTTCAATTTCAAAATTTCATGGCGGGCTGCACGGAATTTATGTATATACTAGCTGACCCGGCGAACGTTTTGCCTCAGGAAATATTAGAGAATCATTAGTATAGAAAATGGCTAACTAATTCTGAATGTATAAATATGTAGTATATAAATGAAAAGGGCAGGAAACACAAATACTAACATCCATATTTGTTTTATGTTATGCTTAGCGAAACGAATAAGATTTCAATAACTCTAAAAAAAATCTAACTTTGTTTTAAAAACAGTTTTATCTTCAGATTTTAGTATAAAATTTCTAAATTTTTTTCGCTAAAATTGCTCTCCTGCAAGACGTTCAAAAACTATGTACTTCTTATGCACATCGCGAAATATTTGTACAATAGGATAACACTGCAAATCAGTTAGTTTTATCCGAGGTAACCATTTCGTTGCCAATATCTAAAAATTGTTTTTAAAATTTTGCAATGGATGGATCGGATAAATTTAAGCATTTCTGTAAGCTCAGAAAAATCTTGATCGAATTTCATTTAAAAACGTTCACAAAAAAGACGATCATTGTTGATTGATCGATTATCGAGCTAAAATGACTATTATGAAATAAGAGTGTGAAATTGGAGTTGTATATAGTTTTCCATTTCGCATTAAAAACGTTAAAATAAAGAATGAAATTTTAAAAAAAATGTTACGGTTGTACAACTCATAAAAAAATATATTGCTTTTTCTTTTTGAATAAAATTGAAAATTTTGCATAAACTTAAAAGTCTAAAGTAAAATTAAGTCAAAAAGATTCATTGACAGAGCGTGGGAATTATGTAAATGCAACAAAATTACAAAATTGCAACAAGAAAGAACAAATATACAAAAATGAAAAAAGTATATATTTTATATAATTACGAGTGTATATTATAAGTTTGTATAAATATTAACACTTTCGGGACGGCACCGATTTCAAAACAATCTACTTTACCGGCTGTAAACTTGATTTCATTGTGTATGTTATGCAATTTGTTTGATAAAAATTTGTGGTCATTGAAGGACATACATTTATAATATTAATTTATTTTTGATCATTTTATAAAGAATAGTGGCGTT